TAAGCTGGATCAATCTTGCATTATCCTCCTACACTACTATTAAAATAAAATCAGTGCATTGTATAAGAATAAAAAAAATAAATCAGTGTAGTTCCATCAGTTTACACCATAATAAAACAAACCATAAAAACTCCAAAATAAATCAAGTTTGGGGATTGTTATTTGCCGGTGTAGGACTTTTTCAATAGAATTAATCTGACTGGAAAAGTAGTCTTAAGTTTAGGAGCTGCGGAGGCAGAAGGTCAAAGAATAAATCTGAGATGTTCTGGTATCTCAGGAGGAAGCGTGGGAGCAGCACTTAGAAATTAGCAATAGGAGGGCAAAGACAGTCTAAGAACAACTCAGTTCCCATTGTGCAACAAGATTTGGGCAGGAGGACGCTGCTCTGCCGGGCTCAGGGTGGGAGTGGGCCTACCCTAATGGATCTAATCGCCACAATTAGGCTTTCCTTTTGTGAGGGCTTTGAATGCATTAGCTAGAGGTGATGAAGAGAAGCTTTCTAAACAACTGAGAGAGAAAATAAGATAAGGAGTTAGGTTTTGCACCTTCTCGAATCCTCCCAAGCTCATTTACCTATAACTTCAGTACAGTGCTTGTAAATTATATATATAGGCCTGACTTTGAGTGTGGTGTGGCTCCAAGACCGAAGGTAGTTAGAAATAATGGGAATGCATTTTACAGTCAGTCCTGCAGAGGGGCAGTGATGATGGCAGAAGGTGGATGTCTGTATGCTTTCCTTTTGCCTCAGTGAAGCATGTATCTCTGCAGCAAGGACAGCAGCAGCTGCACTACCCAGTTTGGTGCCATAATAAAACGATTATACAGGTCCAGTCTTCTGCATGGAAAGCACTAAGCAATGTTACACAATGTTCACATACTGGGTTCTCAAATTTTGACACAGACAAATCTGTATACTGAAGCAGAATTTCCATCTAACTTATTTTTCACCGCTGAAAAATTGTCTAGCCTTGAAAACATGATATGAAAAGAAATCTTACTTTAATTAACTCTTACCCAACCTTGATACTGAGATTAATTTCCCACTGGAATGCTGCTCTGCATGTCTCCTTGTATGATTTATATGACTAGCTGACTTGTTTGACAGTGCCTATTATCTTGATACACCAGACTGTGGTATTGTTTTAAATATTATTAAAATAATGCAAATATAATTATAGAAGAATCATGCAATGAAACAAAACCAGTCATGATTAAAAGCCAATAGAATTAAAGGCTGTTTCAACTGGGCTTCTTCAGAGAGAACAGTGTTACCGTATCTCCAGAGCAGTCTCTACTGATACGTCTGTTTACCTCCTTTCACAAATTGCTGCAAGTTTTAGAGGTTGTCCTTCTAACAGACAACATATGCACATAGTTTTGTTCACAACTTTTACACCTCTGCTGTTTATAGATCAAAAAAAGTTTTACTAAAACACTGTCTAAAGTAGGCACACTGATTTTTAATTTTGATTCCTTGCCAGTATGTGGATGCTCCAGGCAGTATTCAAGCAGGGCTTGCAAACCCTTAGAAAATGAAGTTGGCAGGCAGTTGATAAATGCTTTGGCTTAAAATTTGGAATGGTTGCTTAACTCATGGCCATGGGTTATTTCCCAGGTTGGGGAGAATAAATAAGGCAAATTTATAGAGCTGCCTACTGCGGACTGACTGCACCTGTCCCTGTGGGATGATGCCCACAAATAGTTTGAAACCGTTGCTCTTGAGAGACTTGGCACTTTTACAAAAGCATATCCAAATGCCATGGCCTGTGACAGTTTAAGAGGGCACCTAATTAATGGGCAGTTCTTATTATGAATATTGGTTAAAGGAAAAGGGGGAGAGGAAAGATTGACTGTGTGATTGCAATAAATAACAGGAAGTCATTATACGAGGGAGGGTTATTTTATTAGTCACCAGTAAAACTAAAGGCTGTTAAATTTGAATGCCCTAGTAAAGGTTCTTTGGCATCACAGTCCTGTCCTAGTCACCCACTGGGATCAGTTAACCCATTGATGTAAACTTCACCTTGCGAATATGAAATTTTGAACGGGCTAAGACAAGCTATCTTACAACAGCATGACAATATACTCCAAAGAATCCACAGCTGATGTAATATATAGGACTTCAACTTTTTAGGAGTATTATAAAGGCCCTAAATCATTAGTCATGGAAGCTTCTTTCTACAGTGACAAATTCCATCAGGCTGAAGTGCTCCAGCAACCTTCTCTAAGTTGAGGGGTGTGTTTAATTTAGTGTTCCTATTTGTTGAGAGCACTCTGAGGCTACACTCTCACCGAGTCAGGAAATTTCTCACTTTGGTAATCTAATAATCTTAAAATAGCTCAAAGAGCATTTGGCCTGAAAAAAAGCCTAGGAGCTTGCTACAGCACTGCCTCTGAAAAAATCTAGCTATGTACTTCAGAGACTGCAGTGACAAAAAAATGCAAAACTGAGATTTTCTTAACATTCAAGTGTTAGCCAGTTTCTGATTTCTCAGCTGCTTGCTCCTGTGTGTGCTGTTTTTAACTGACAGGACCTATGAGAATAAGGAATATGGGATCATTCGTGTAGATTGCTTATTTTGGAAATGTCAGAAGAAAACTGCTTAGGTGCCCATGTGATGCAGAAGCCCTAAGCCTATTTTTTTTTTTTTTTTCTCTGCTTTCTATTGTAGTCTGCCAACAAGTTCCCCAAAGGTTTCTCAGAGAGTCCTTCTCATGGTATCTTCCAGAATGTAGTCAGTCCAAGGTTCACCTTTATTAAGTAATTACCTTCAATCCTTCACACTTTGAAAATTACCTTGAGAACAGGCATTTGATGGACAGTGAGGTTGTGAATTCTTACTGGTGGATCTAGTACGAGTAGTAGCAGTGGTATTGTGCTATTATTGGTACTGAATATTCCTGCCACTAATAGAGTTAGTACTTCTATTTACTATACAAATACTGCCACCAGCTCAGGTGAGCTCTTGATCAATGATAAATCTTTAGGAAGCAGATAATCTCTTAAGTACAATAAGGTAAACCTGTTGTCACCCTGAACTACTGGCTTCAAATAATCTGGGTGCAATGAGGAACAACCAGCTTACAACCTGTGTATCACTTTTCCAGAGCTCATTAATACTTGGGAACTCTACCTCTATCAGGACAGAAGGCTTCAATATTTTTTAAGTTCCTGAATAATGACTCATAAGAAATCACATTTATTCCACTGTCAATATAATGTTGTTCAGAGTTGCTAAATTTATTTTGTAACACAACCATGGAGCTGCATTTGTAGTCACTGCATTGTAAGAACACCTTTTAAACAACCTAGTCTTAAACAGAGTAATAACCTTTAGAAACATGAACATCCTAACAAATTTTCATCAAGGCACATATCTTTTCAAAGTACAGAGATATTTCAGGTGTTGTTTTTTTTTTAAAGTTGGCAGCTTCAGAATGCATTCTGATTAAACTGTGTAATATCCAGTCAAATAACAGATCAAATAAAAAGGACACTTAATACATGCGTAAATCATTTGAATTACAAGTAAGACACTCTAGAAAGGGCTTGGCTCTAGGTCTGATGCAGAGGATTAGGCTCCCGTATTAATACGTGCACTTGGTGTAGCTATTTTCAGAAGGATATTTCATCCATCATTGTCCTCGAGCACTAAGGAGGGCCAGTAAGTAAAATGATCGCGTTGGTCTGTCAACACTACTTGCTTAAGACTCAGTCGTGCAAAAAATTTAGTTTTCATATGCCCCCAACCCAACAAGGTGCTGAAACTGCCTAATGCTCCTGGTAATTGCTCTGATCTTGCATTCCACAAACCCAGAAATTATTTCAAAAATACTTTTGAAATAAATCAAATGGTACTGATAGGTCAGTGTTAAATCAAGTGTGTTCATTCAAACTACACACATGGGCCTATCAGATCTTTCAGAATTGATGGGAAATAAATGCTCTTTAATGACTTCTATACTTTCCACAGTATAATCTTCAAGATTAATCTCAGTTTTGTGCTTGGAATGCATCAGGGAGCCTGTCTGTATACCTCTTGTTTGCCAACACTTGCAAAGCATATACAGTTCGCACACTTATGGCTTTGCAGAAGCTAAATATGTTGTCAGGTCTAAACAATAATCATTGAAAATTTTTATCAAAATATCTAAATTTGAAAGGTAAAAGAAGGGCTATAGAAGCAGTGCAAATATAAGAAGGTCATTTAGCTTAATTTTTCAAAATAGTGAAAAATAAATGCTAGCTTTTAAAAAGTTGTCATCCAGAACATCTTACGCCTGTTTGGGCAGACTTCAGTGGGCAACTCTCTATCTTTGTAGCAGACTACATACTCACTTTCTTTGCTATGAACTTAATAGTACCACAAAAGGGGCCAGTATTGCTACCTTTAACTATCCTTCTGAAACATAAAATACTAATTTCTGTAGCGTGGCAAAATGTATCATTCCAGTTTGACCTGTACAGAAAAACTTACTACTTTCTTCACTTGTGCAATAGACATACAGAATGTATTTTCATCAGAATCTTAAAACTGTTTCATGAACACATCCTTTTTATTCAGTAACTTACAAAACTTTATGGAAAATATATCAACCTGCTGACCTTTTAAAGCACAAAAAATGCTTATTCCCTGTTTTCCAGAGTCTAGATGTCTTAGCTATAGAGAAATTACTAATTACCACTACAAAAATCCTGCAGTCTTTAACAAGTGAATACAGCACTTGCCCAATCAAGTAATTTCTCAATATCTCTGCAAAGCCATTGTCTAAAATAGTTGGAGGTCAAAACAGTTTTGTGCTATAGCCCTATGTGAAAGTAATTTCTTAGTTTAAAAGGATCAGTTGTCTGTAATGATATAATGTTGTTACATGACTATCACTCTTAGATATTATTTGTTGCTGAAATATGCAAAATGGTCTAAAGGTGTTTTGTGTGTGTGTGTGTACTGATTATTCCTGTAATTAAGAATTGTTCAGGTAATATTTGTTATGCTTACCATCTTTCTTGGTGGGTTCCGGCATTGCTACAAGAATTCTTTATTCCCAGTGAGTTTCAGCCTTTCAGATGCAGTAAGTAGTAGCCCCAAGTCCAGCTGAGAGAGTATGAAGATCAGTATGACAAGCAGAGGGTAAGAAGAATTCCTCTGCTTTTTATACTGCGACTGAAATATCAATCAAAATAGCACCTCCTCTCTTTTCAATGCAAACACTTTGAAAATTGACAGTTATGGGAACCCCTCTCACATCTGTTGTCTGCAGCCTCTGCTCCCTTGGCTTTTGGAAGGAATCTCTGCTGCATTGCATGGGGCTGATGAGAACATCTATAACTTTCTAAATACAGCCACACAGCTCGCTCTCTGTGTCTCTGTGAAACATGCAGACACGGGTTGAAAAAGTGACTGCCGTGGTACTAAAGAGACCCTCCTGCATTGTATCTATTTGCACCTTCTCCTACAACATAAAAGGGACAAATCAGTATAGATGGTATGTGTGCAATGAAACTGAATTTCCTTCCTTTAAGAGGAAGTGGTATGCAAAGATGGATTGAGTAGAGTAATTTGCAGTATTAATGAGGAAAAAAGGATTGCTGTGTTCTTGTTTGGAGCAGTGAAGACCTTCCTCCGCATCTCCCTTCTGTTTACATTTGCTACACTTTCTTGGGTTCTTTCCCTGTAGTCGTCCTCATTTTGGCTGCAGTAGAGACTACAGTGTGCCTTTCAGCACTGCTACCTTGTTAACTGGAGAGGTCACTGCCGAGAGATGAGTTATTCTCTTTTCCACTCATCCAGGACATGCAACCCTCCTTGCCTTTGCCAAGCCAGGAAACCAGACAGAAGGAATGGAAATCCTATCTGTAGCACACGCACCGAGCCACTAAACTAAGCCACTGGGCTGCCCTCCTCTTACTTAAAACTATGAATATGTAGGCAATAGAGATGCAGATTAAAGTTAATTGGGATATTAGGATTTATTTTCTTATGCCCTTTTAGGATTTTGAGACAGAACTGTAGCAATTAGTGCAACAGATGAAGTGGTCCTCAAGGGTTTAATGCTGTTAAAGCAGATGTTCATATCATTATCACATATCTATAGGAACTAGGCGACTAGACAGACTGCTCAGTGTCTAAACACACCCAAATGTTGTGGAAAACGTATTTTACGTCTTTGAATAGGAGTTAGAAATGGAATAGCGGTCATGTGCGCCTTTATCCTGTAGCCAATGCATGATTGTTTCCTCTACAATCTCTTGTTTTCTGGCTACCTAGACATTTTATAGACATAAGGGATGGGCATTTCATTCCTTTTTTTTTTTTTTTTTTTTTTTTTTTAAGAGACCAGACTATCATCTGGCTTTTTCTGCTTTACTCATTTTGGTGTTTTATTATTTGACTGATTCATGTGCCTATAAAATACAGAGAGAGGCAAGACCCCTGCCTACCAGAACCTAAACAAGGAATATTAAATCTATTTTCCTCCTTTGTTTCATATCTCTATCTAGGAAAAGCTTCTTCTATCACTGAAACATTTCCTGTCCTTGGAAAGCAAACAGAGCACTACCCTGAATAGGTAACGGGATTTTGTCCCTCTGTGTGAGTGTGGTGACATTGGAGAAGCAGTGCATGAACTGATCTAGTAACACTGCAGAAAACATTTTTTCTTGTTCCGCTTTCTTCTACTCATACTGAGGCACCGAACGCTGTGGTGACTGGAACTGGAGGGGCATTAAGAGCAACTGCTGATTCCTTCCATCATGGTGTTTCCTTAGCAGCCCCTTGTAACGTGTAAAGACAGTTTGCTTTACATTTCACCCATCATGTGCCAGGAGGTGCTGAGAACTACATGTCTGGATATTCCTGTTAATGCAAACAGGATCAAATACGGTCACAGTCTAGCACTGGATGGGTTAGAGAGGACCCCATCTCAATCTCTTGGTGAGAAAGGATTAGAAACCAGTTTATCCTTACAACCTTAAAGGGCTTCCTTTACAGAGTGAGGAAGAAGAATATTCAGGAAGACAGGACCTAACTCATAGACTACCTTTATACTACTAAATAAACCACTACTGAGACCACTTACTGGCCCAGAGGCCGAGTGAAAGTGTGTAGTTCTCATCTGCACAGCAAAACTCCTTCTCTACCCCAAAACCAGGAGACTGCAGTCAAAACGTCCCCAAGGAATGATATCTGGCATGTGCCTGAGCTATGCCTAGGCGGGAGAGTGCTAGCTGGCCTGAGCCAGAATGGCATCAGGGGGCATGCTAACCATCCCCCAGCATGGATAATCACAGGGCAACACTTGAGCCCATGCCCTAGCCCCGTTTTAGTTACAGGTATAGACATAGCTAGAAAAACTAAATTGGCTCTATAAGCTCTGCTAGGCAGCAAGGGAAGAAGACAGGTTATGGATAGGAAAAAGTCATGAAATACTAGCCTTTGTAGCATGTGGAGATGTGTGTTTGAGGTCCCTGTTTTGTAGAGGCCAGCTGACAGTGTAAGCCAAAGTCTCTTCAACTGCACAAACAAATTGAAGCTGTGGAGTAGCAACCATCTGAAAATTTGCTCTTCCTTTCACTCTTTCCCATCCTTACATTACACTTGTATAATTCATTGCATTTCACGTTATATTCTCTTTTACTCTGATAAAAAAGTCCAGTGTTACAACTTTCCTGTAATGTAATTTTTAATAGCATTATAAAAGATGCCACTGGGGTAGGTTTAGACTGTGATGTCTCAGTGTACCTTACCTTAGAACTAGCAGTAACAGGGAAAGTAGTTTGTTTCCTAAGAAAGCAGGCCATATTTTAATTGTTTGTCTTATTCTTAGCTGAATGCATGCTTCAAGCATCTTCAGATACTTCATACTCCAATCTAAGAAAACCTGGTCATTTCAGTTTATTTTTCTTCCTGAACAAATACTGCCATAATGTCAACCCCATCTTGTGTGTGCCATAACAGTTATTAGTGCTTTGGTGCTATTGGATGGATGTCATTCAGAACTTGCCTTCTTATACTTCTTTTCCACATCTGTAGAGTACATGGTAGTCACCAAACTTGCCTTATCACTGCATACAGGAGAGGTGTTGATTTTAGCCAACAACTGTCCAAATTGCTTTAAGACATTCAAAAAGAAGGAAATGTCTAGCCTCTTCTGTTCTTTTCCATTTTAGTCATCTCTAAGCTTATGCTTCTTGGATCACAGAGGTGTCTAAACATACTTACAATTATCCATCTGCCCAACCCGTACACTCTCAAGCTGGCTTCTAACCTTGTATTGTGCCCTTCCATAAAGCTAACATCTTCTGACAAAAACATATTCTCATTGAAGTGTGGCTTTTGTGTACCACCATAAGCCCTCTTCTCAGCCACCGCAGGGGCCAAACACGCTAAGCCCTCTGAGACTTTCCTTTTATGCCTGCCCCAATTAATCTTCTATAGTCTCTTTCCAAAACATGAATATCCTATTTTAACTCTGTTTAACTCCTTAAGCAATTTCCAAACAGCAACTAACCAAGGCGTCAGATAATTAAATCATTCTCTCTTGACTGTTTTTAATAAATTCCCTTGGTCGAACATTCAAAGCCCTTATTTGCTCTTGCAGCTGCCAGATCTGCATCCATAACTTCATATTTGCTGCTATTCCTAGGACTGAATTCTCACTTACTTCAGTCCCTATTCTAGTAAGTCACTGTCTGTTTGTTACCAGAGAAAAATCTCTGTCTTGTCACCAAGCCAAAGGATCAGGACATTCCCAGAAGATCTCAGAGACAAACCTTTAACCAAACTATTTAACTTAATGAGGCTCTCCATCATATGATTAAGTTTTAGGTAGTCCTGTGAGGAGCATGGAGTTGGACTCGATGATCCTTATGGGTCCCTTCCAACTTAAGATATTCTATGATTCTATTTTAAAATTTTCCACTGAAAGGTTTTATTGATATGGAGAAAAGCGATCAACTGAAATAAGAATTCTGGGCAGAAACAATCAGCTTAGACAAGAATGGGAAAGGCTTCCCAGTCCACACAGGACAAAATCTGGAAATAACCCCCAAAATGCCAGTGTGTCTATGTATTTTCATTAAAAAATGAACAGCATCTTCATTTTGTACTAATAAGGAACTCAAAGTTTTGAAATCTTAAATAACAGAAAACCATTTTTCGCCAATTTTAATATTTGGAGCTTTGGAAACTCTAGGAAATTTATTTACTGAGCTCCAGGAAGAAGGATAAGAAACAGCAGCAGATGGAGCCTTGCCTCCCATCAGGAAGAACCCATAAACACACTTCTCCAGCAGAACATTGGAATGAGGTTTGACTGTGCCCAAGGCCCACTGATATCTCATGTCCCCTCCCACCAGGCACAAGGCCTAAAAATCCTGTTCGTCATGTCTACAGCAGAATTGCATCGTTATGACATCATTTTGTGCTCAGATTCTGCCTTTGCCACACACTCTATTTAAAATAGGACATTACAGATGTTGGTGAATTTAGTTCTTTTGATATCACTGATAACCCACAGAACACTTTTTCTTTTCTACTAAGAAAAGATCAATTACCTCAATTTCTACCATGCTGGGAAGTGGAAGACTAAAAACATATAACCAAAAAAAACATACAACTCCTTTTGCAAGAGAGAGAAGTACCTGATCATGGAAGAATGCTGCCTCTCAGGATCTCTGATACATTTTAAGTCCCCATCTAATTTGTGCAGGCAGCCCCTTTTATCTAACACCTTTGCTGAACTCATTGGTGTTGATGAAAGACACCTGGATTTACCTGGCCAGCTGAGTTTAATCACAGCCTTGCACCGTAGACCTGCCAGGAAAAAAAGACTTACCTACTCTGTCATGCGCTCTACTTTTCTGCCACGAGACATGACCTTGCTTGAGAAGTGATGAGAAATACTTTCTGTATAGATGTAGCGTCCACAAATGGGGTCTTACTCTATGTGGCAAGATGAGGGAAGATTAAACTTTAAAGCCTAGGTTGCATTTTTTTTTTTTTTCCAAGACAGTCGGCTTGGAGACACTTCAAGGCATGTACAAGATGTCGTTGACAGATAAACACCACTTGTCAACTTTACCTTCTGCC